GAGAAACAGAGCGGCATTTGCTCAAGGACAAAGCCCAGAAGGCACGAAGGTGTGTAGACGAGAGGGGTTAACAGGCTGAGGCACGGGATGGAAGTGGGAAAGTGGGGTAACATTGTGAGTGCTGTAATTACATGTTGTAAAACAAAATATGTTTGAGTGGAAAACCTGTTTGCTTTGTAAACTTTCACTCAGTTCACAATAAAAAAGGAAAACCACAAAGAAGGACCACAGATGGTGTGTATTAACTATCATCCTAAGTGAAAACTCAAGTAGAAAAGGAAATTATTGCATTACCTTTTTTTAACCTCAAAATTCTCTAGCCGTCAGCTCTTAACTGTCTGCTTATGTTTAACACCCTAGAGAAGAAGGCGAGCTGGATGTTGTTTTATTTTGGGGCAACTGTTTTCTTTCTTTTAAAAATAATATTTTATGAAGAAATTTATTTGTAGATTTTGTGAGAGTTGCGCTTTTCCCAATTCCCAAGAATATTTATTGTGCTCTTACTACATACTTGTATGTCTGTTTTATTTCTTGATTTAAAAAAAAAAAATTCCCCCCCCCTTTTTTTTTAGTCAAAGCAATGTGGAAAGAATTCAGGAAAGTATGTCCAGGTAGAGAGCATCCCCCTTTTCTTGGAATTTGCCAGATATCCTCAAAGTCTTGCACTTAGAGAGATGGCTCTTCTTTTCAGTTAAGAAAAGCTCAGGAACAAAGAAAGCGTGTTGGGTTTCCAGTGCAGGCAGCAGACTTGCTGGCGAGTACTGCTGAGTTGGCTCCGAATCATAGAGACCCAGGGACCATGTACAGCGAGATGAAGCCTACCAGCCCTGCTCCACCTTCACATCCTCTGCTGTGCTCAAGTCCATGGTGGCTGTGTCAGTCCACCTCATTCAGGGCCTTCCTCTGGTACTGAAGCTCCGTCTGACACACTTTGCACATGTTGCGAGGTGGGATCAGTCCTTGGAGAGGGACGTCATGCTTGGGAAGGTGGAGGGACAGTGCAGGAGAGGAAGACCCTCGATGAGATGGATTGATTCAGTGACTGAGGTAATGGGGGAATGTTTGTCAGAGACAGTAAGATTGTCAAGGGACCCATCAACAAATGAATGGATAGAGAAGCTGTGGTATATTCACACAATGGAATACTACGCTGCATAGAAAAACAAGGAACTCATGAAATATTATACAAAATGGGTGACCCTGGAGTACATTATGCTGAGTGAAGTATCTCAGTCACAAAAGGACAAATACTGCATGGTGCCACTGTTGTAAAACGGGACTGACATCGGGGTCAGGGGGAGACTGAGAAAGATGGAATAAATAATGTATACTGCATTGAAACAGATGAAGGAGAAAACTGTTTAAAAGGGATATATGATTAGATATGTTTGTCATGACAGGAGTCCAGAATGAAGGCTGAACAGTGGAGTGGACTTGGGGGGAGGGATTTTTCTTTTATTTTTCAAAGAGAAGAGCAAACTGGAGGAGGAGGGGTGGGCAGGGAGAAAAGTGCAACAGTGAATGAATGGAAATCCAAAGTCTGTAAATTTTCATTAAAATTAATAATAAAAATAAACATTGGCAATGGATAGAGCAGGGTTTAGGACTGTTGTACATAGGGTCGCTATGAGTCACAGATGACTCGATGGCACATAACAACTACTTTACCAAGCATGATCTTCTCCATGGACTGATTCATCCTGATAAAATAACCCAAGCTACACCATCCTTGCAGTTAAGGCGCTCTGACTGCATTTCCTCCAGAACAGATTTGTCTGCCCTAGTGCTTGTCCTGTTGTGTACTGTAGAGTCACAATCAGCCCATAGCTGACCCTCCAGCGGGCTTTCAGAGGCTGTATAATCACCCAGAGGAGATTGCCCATCTTTCTCCTGTGGAGCAGCTGGTGGATTTGAACCACGTGACTTTGGGTTGGCAGCACAGCACCTTACCTCTTGGTCACCAGAGCCCTGTGGCCGTCCTAGCCACATGCTTTTCTTTTCTGTGCCTCCTGAGCCCCATTAATGTATCAGTAAAGGACGGGAGAGGGAACAATAGCAGTGGAATTTGGAGAGTTAGAAAGAATAGGTGGGTGGTCATGACAACTTGCCTGAAAAGGTCAGAGAGCTGCGGCAACCTCAGTCATCGGCGGGACAGCAACATTCCTGTTGCAGGGAATTCGAACCACTAACCTTTTGGTTAGCAGCCCAACACTTAATCCACTGTATCTCCTCGGTTCCTTAAGGTATCTGTAGGATGCTTTAAAAGAGGGGTATTCAAAGAACAACAGCAACAAAATTCCTTGAGATTTAAAAATTATCGTAACAGACGTGAAGATAGTCAGTAGAAGGTTAAGAAGGTAAAGTTGGGAAATCCTCCAGAAAGTGGAAAAGGCAAAAAAGAGAGTGAAGTACAAAAAGCAAGTGAAGGGGAGCTCTAGTGGCCTAGTGGCAAGGAGCTGCAACTACAATCCCAGAGGCACACAGTTTGAATCCACCAGATGCTCTGCAGGGGAAGGAGGGACAATCTCCTGTACCAGTCAGATCTGAATTAACGGTACACTCACACAAAAATAATAATAATAAAAAAATTTTAAAAAGCAAGTGAAAAATGTGGAAGACCAGTGCAAGAAGTTCTATTTATGAAGACTGACCTCCAAAGAAAGGGCAGGAAGTGGAGGAGAGGAAATTATGATGAGGTCATTAAAGGCAACTTCTTGGAAGAGAAGGCATGAGTGTCCACACAGAAAGTGCCTGTGATTGCCTTCGCCGCGCGCTGCCTCTGACCGATGGTGGCTGCCACGCTGCTGTGAGGCTGCATGCTGTGTCAGCGGAATTTCAGTTACCTTCAGGGTCACCCGTGGCTTCAGCAGAACTTCCAGGTTGAGACAGACGAGATAAGGTGCTTCTAAAAATCTGGCTGGTGCAAACGTTATGCACAGCAGTGCCTCCCTGTCTGCTGTCGAGCCAGGAAGCAAGCCCCTCAGGGCGGAAGGCATGCAGAATGTGAGCAGGGAAGGGCTGCCCCCTCAACATGTTGTTGTGTTGTTAAGTACCGTGAGTCGTAGGTGTCTCAGAGCGACCCTATGAATGAAAGTCCTCCACACTTGCGTGACTCTCATCCTCTCTCCAGGTTCATAGGGTTTCCAGAGGCAAACTATTACGGAAGTGGGTGACACTCCTGCTTCCAAGCTTGTTTTAACTGGGGAGCCCCACCCAACACCATCCCCATGGGTCACCGTTATCGCATTTGACACATACGCCCCCTCAGCATAGTCAGCTTTAAAGATCTGCGTGGAGGAAAGCTTCCAGAAGGAACAGCTGCAAACACATTCATGACCAGAACATGGACTATACCGATTTCCTATGAATCAAGGAACGTTGCAAGTTACCAAAAGTGGGATGGGAAGCGTAAAGATCAATACTCTCGGCATTAGGAAGCTGAGACGGGCCGGTACTGGGTGCTTTGAATCAGACGATCATATGGTCCACCATGCTGGGAATGGCCAATTGAAGAGGAGTGGCGTTCCTGGTCAAAAAGAATATTGCGAGCTCTGGCCTGGAGTCGTGTGCTAGTGGTAGTAAGTACAAGAAGACTAGTTAATAGGACTATCAAGCCGATTTCGGCACCAACTAATGGTGAAGAAAGGAGCTCTCGGGACGAGGTGTAATCTCTAGGGAACTGCACTGCTCTCTGGCGGGTCAAATCCACCCTGCTTCCGTGGGAGAAAGATAGGCCATCACCTCCCATGCAGTTTACAGCCTCTGAAAACCTGCCGGGGTGGGGGTGGGGGTAGTCTGTGAGTCAGTCTTGACAGCAGTGAGAGAAAGAGAAAATGTCAAAGATGAAGAAATTGAAGTTTGTTTTTAAAGCAACATCTACAGACTAATGTTGATCAAATATGTACTCAAGATGCATTGGTGGGTAACTGGTGATTGCAATATCAATGTTGGAAAGAAAGATCCAAGGTAGAAAATAGGGCCTTGGTGATAGAAACAATGTGAGAGTGGATGACAGAAGTTTGCAAGAAAGTACTGATTGCAAATATCTCTTCTCCCCCCAAACATAGAGGATCACTAAACACATGTTTTGTTTTCCTGGATAGAATATACAGAAATCAAATCCACTACATCTGGGGGAAAAGTTGATGGAGACACTCAGTAATATCAGTCAGGACAAGACCAAGGGCAGGTTATGGAACAAAGAAAAAATTCCTTTTGTGCAAGTTCAAGTTGTAGCTGAAGGAAAGGAAAGCAAGTCCACAAGAGCCAAAGTAAGGCCTTGAGACTTGCTCGCTTGAGTTTAAAGATCATCACAGGAATAGATTCAAGTGTTGAGCACTCCTGGCTGAAGACCAGATGAACTGTGGGGTACCATCAGGGATAGCATGTCTGGAGAGAAAAAAAGGCTACAAAAAGACAGAAAAGAAAGAAAAGACCAAATGTGCAACAATGAATGAATGAATGGAAATC